GAATCAACATCTTGAAAATGGCCATACTGCCCAAAGTAATATATAGAGTCAACACTATCCCCATCAAGCAACCAATGACCTTCTTCACAGAACTGGAAAAAACCACTTCAAACATCATATGGAACCAAAAGAGAGCCTGCATAGCCAAAACAATACTAAGAAAAAAGAACAAAGCTGGAGGCATCATGCTGCCTGACTTCAATCTATACTACAAGGCCACAGTAATCAAAACAATATGGTACTGATACCAAAACAGAGAAGAGGCCCACCCATCTACAATCATCTGATCTTTGACAAATCCTGAGAAAAACAAGCAATTTTTATTTTATTAAGACGATTTTAATATTAATAAAATTTTATTTTATTAAAAGTATTTAAAAAGGAAGTTTAATTTTTTTAAAAGGATTCCCTGTTTAATGAATGGTGTTGGGAAAACTGGCTAGCAATGTGCAATGTGCAGAAAGCAGAAACTGGACCCCTTCCTGACACTTTACACTAAAATTAACTCCAGATGGATTAAAGATCTAAACATGAGACCTAACACCATAAAAACCCTAGAAGAAAACCTAGGCAAAGCCATTCAGGATATAGGCATAGGCAAGGACTTCATGACTAAAACACCAAAAGCAATGGCAACAAAAGCCAAAATAGACAATGGGACCTGATCATACTCCAGAGCTTCTGCACAGCAAAGGAAACAATCATTAGAGCAAACTGGCAACCAACAGAATGGGAAAAAAAATTTTACAGTCTACCCATCTGACAAAGGGCTAATATCCAAAATCTACAAAAAACTAAAACAGATTTACAAGAAAAAAACAAACAAACCCATTCAAAAGTGGGCAAAGGATATGAACAGACACTTTTCAAAAGAAGGCATATATGAGGCCAACAAACATACGAAAAAATGCTCATCATCACTGGTCATTAGAAAAATGCAAATCAAAACCATATTGAGATACCATCTCACACCAGTTAGAATGATGTGATCATTAAAATATCTGGAGACAACAGATGCTACAATGGATGTGGAGAAATAGGAACACTTTTACACTGTTGGTGGGAGTGCAAATTAGTGCAACCATTGTGGAAGACAGCGTGGTGTTTCCTCAAGGACCTAGAAACAGAAATACCATTTGACATAGCAATCCCATTACTGAGTATATACCGAAAGAATTATAAACTGTTCTATTATAAAGACACATGCACATTATGTTCATTGCGGCACTGTTTACAATAGCAAAGACCTGGAACCAACCAAATGTCCATCAACTATAGACTGGATAATGAAAATGTGGCACATATACAGCATGGAATACTACACAGCCATAAAAAACGATGAATTCGTGTCCTTCATAGGGACATGGATGAATCTGGAAACTATCATTCTCAGCAAACTGACACAAGAACAGAAAACCAAACACCACATTATCACTCATAGATGGGTGTTGAACAGTTAGAACACATGGACACATGGAGGGAAGCATCACACACTGGGGTCAGTTGGTGGGAGCTAGGGAAGGGACAATGGAGGGTGGGGAGGGATAATGAGGGGAGAAATGCCAGATATAGGTGATGGGGGGGATGAAGGCAGCAAACCACCTTGCCATATATGTACCTATGCAACAATCCTGCATGATCTGCACATGTACCCCAGGATCTAAAGTACAATTAAAAAAAAAAAATAAGAACACAACCATTTCCTTTGCAGGAACATGGATGCAGCTGGAGGCCATTGCCCTTGGCAAACTAACTCAGGAACAGAAAACCAAATAACTGCATGTTATCAGAAGTGGGAGTTAAATGATAAGAACACATGGAAACAAAGAGGGAAACCACAGACACTTGAGAGTGGAGGGTGGGAGGAAGAAGACGATCAGACAAAAATAACTATTGGGTGGTACTAGGCTTACCTGGTACCTGGGTGACAAGATAATCTGTACAACAAACCCCTGTGACACAAGTTTACCTATATAAAAAACCAGCACATGTACCCCTGAACCTAAAATAAAAGTTAAAAAAAAGTGGGCAGAAGTTATGACCAATTTATCCACAGAAGAGGAAATTCAAATGGCCTTAAATATATGCAAAGATGCTCACCCTCACTACTAATAAGACAAAAAAGTAAAGCAACTTGGCAAATTAAAGATTTTAGCATGCACTGCTGGTTGAAGAGTGGGGAAATAGTCCTCTTATACTGTTTAAATAGGTGTGTAAGGCCGGGCACGGTGGCTCACGTCTGTAATCCCAGCACTTTGGGAGGCTGAGGCAGGAGGATCACCTAATGTCAGGAGTTCAGGACCTGCCTGGCCAAAATGATGAAACTCATCTCTACTATAAATACAAAAATTAGCCAGGCATGATAACACATGCCTGTAATCCCAGCTACTAGGCAGACTGAAGCAGGAGAATCACTTGAACCCAGGAGGTGGAAGTTGCAGTAAGCCAATATCGTGCCATTGCACTCCAACCTGGGTGTCATGACATCACAGACAGACTCTAATTCAAAAAAAAAAAAAAAAAAGGTGTGTAAATTGGCACAAGCTCTCTGGAAGGCAATTTGGAAACATGTATCAAATTATACAAATAATATTCTCAGTAACCTTGAAATTCCTTTCCTAGGTATATAGCACATATGAATACATTTGAATCTGTAAATCTGAATATACAAAATTATGTATATTCAAGGATATTCAGTATATTATTGCTTACAGTCCAAAACAGTGGCAATGAAATATCCATTCATGGGGGAGTGGTTAAATATATGAAACATATATGAAACATGTATATGAAATGGTTTCATATATTATAAAATATATAAAGCCATTAAAAAGAATGTGGCAGCTCTATATGTTACAGAAGTGGATATATACATATTTATTTATAATAATTTGTGACTTTGTGTGTGTGTATGTGTGTGTATTTCTGGAAAGACACATAAGAAATTGATCCAAATGTTTTTTTCCTCCAGGGAAGGCAATGGGATGGGCATACAAGTGAGGAAACAACCCTTAATTTTCACTCTGCATCCTTTTGTACTTTTGAATTTTGAATTAAGCACACATATTATTCATTCAAAAATAAATACAAATGTATTTCAAGACACTGGGCTCGTAGACATCCCAGTGACAGAAGGTTCAATCACCTGAATCGGTATGAGAATGTATGCATATATTAATCTCTCTGTTCTTAAAAATATACTGATATTCAGTGCATCTATTCATTAGTTGAAGTTTGAATATGCTGCTTCTTGTTGCTTCTACCCTTAAAGGCAGTCAATAAAATAGATATCTTTATCTTTAGAGTAGACAAAGAGGGGCGGGGGTGGGCGCGCACGTGTGTGTGTGTGTGTGTGTGTGTGTGTGTGTGTGGACTGCAAGTCTATTGTCCTATTTTAGATAAACTTTTCAATTTAAAATAATCTAAAACAAGACATTCCAAGTCAAAAAAGTCTAAAACCAGAGTGTATTATGTACATTATGTATATGGGTTTGATTTCAAAGATGGCTACAAAACAAAGGGCTTTATCACACATTATACACCTTTAGTCTATGCTTATTTGTAGTTTTTCTTCATCAGTTTAAATTTTCTTCAGAATATAGCCTCCTACTCCCCATCTCTGCTAATTGCCATATACTATAAAATAGTTGTCTGTTTCATAGATTGAAAACCCTGCATGGAGACACAGCTTGCCAAGGACCCTTAGGAATACATCTAGTATTGGAAGTTCACATTATCTTCTAGCCTGAACTTGAATGTGCACATAACTCAGCTGGACGTTTTGCTAAAACAAAGATTCTGATTCAGTAGATCTGGAGGGAAGTGTGAGATTCTGTATTTCTAAAAAACTCCCAGGTAATGCCAATGTTGCAGGTCCACAGAGTATACTTCGAGTAGCAAGACCAAAGTCAAAGACCATACAGTTTCATGTCTAGGCTTGGTAAAGCCTAATCTGAATGCTCTGTAATCGTGTGTCTTCCCAGTTATCAGATAAATGTAATGACTCAGTTGCAAGCGTTGGTAATACCACACTTAATTAAGCAGAGAAAGCCTCTTTTTCTATATCTTCTGATTTCTATGATGATGAATTTTTCTGAATAATTGTAGCCTCTTTTGCCACCCTTTGCTACTTAATGATTAATAGCAGTTGTTCCACTTTTCTCAGTCAAGAGGAGATCATCAAAAGCATTGAGAAAGAGAAAACGAGAGAGAGAGAGAAGGAAGAAAGAGAGAGAAGAGAAGGTTGCGGGGATAGTCTTTTTAATTCCCCCACTTCAGTATGAAGCAACAGCATCTTGGGTAAGTGTGCATGTTCTCCAGACTCAAACCCTCCTTTTAGTGAGCAGTTCTGATGCTTATCGGGCACCTTGGGTGAAGGACGAGAACTTATCAGGCATGTTTACCTTTAGCAGTAATAACAGTGATAGGTTGATTTCCCATCTGCCTTATGCTTTAATCTTACTTCTCAACGGATTTAGAACTTAGGGTAGGGGGAAGAGGGGTTATCAACTGAATCCTTTCAAATCCCCTATGCCACCTAGACAACCAGCTAAGACAGTAATGACACGTTTGAAGAGGTCGTTAAGTTCAGACTCTTGCCTCTTCCCTAACACATCCCAGGGCTACTTTTCCAGCTTCATCTCATCTTTTGAGCAATGCTGTCCTATCCAAAACTCAGCCCAAAGCCCAAACCTTAATCTGATTCTTTCACTAGGTCTCTTGGAGGTTCCTCATCTGTACACTCCTACTCCTAAATGCAAAAAAAAAAAAAAAAAAAGAAAGAAAAATATCACTTATCCTCTTTTCCCTCTTTGATATGCCTTGTATTGGGCAAAATCTAATTTTACTTTATCCATTATCTCTGCCAAGAGGCATGATCTTCAAATCCTGCTGTTCCCGTTTTACCTTCCCGGTGGCTATCTTCCTATTCAGAAGGAAAGCAGAACTTAAAGACCTTGTTAGATCTTAATAAGGCTTCCAAATTTCTCTGCCTTTCTTACCTTCTCCTGGATCCCTTCATCATCACCAGCAAAATACAAAATAGGGACATTGAGTTCAGAGGCAGCTACCCATTGAAGGACGGCCTGGAGTTGCTTGTTCTCAACCGTATCTAATAGGTTGTGATTGCTGACAATCACCTTGGGTGCTGCACACCCTTCAGGGGCTTGTCCTGATACACCTCTCAGTAGATTATGGACAGCTTGATAGGCATTCTGCAGAAGAGCTTCTGCTGTCCCTGTGTCCTTGACTGGCAAACACTCATATAAACTATCTGGAAAGGCCGACATTAGCCTGCTGACATTTCCAGACTTGTCATCTTCCAGTTCTGTCAAAGAAGTATCACAGGACTTGGCAATGATGATACACAGCTTCATCACTGAGTCCATCAGATGTTCTACCATCTTCCCATTCATGTTGCCATCTAGCTGGTTGGTAACCATCTTGGTCAGCCCAGAAGAGGCACCAGGGGTCTCATCATCTTTACAAGGTTTGGGGGGTGAAGAGGTTAAAGGTCTTTCATACAAGTTTGTATCTTCCTTAACTAGTTGTTCTGGCACCTTGGGTTCAGAGCAATGGCCACGCTCAAAAACGGTCTCACTAAGTAAGTTCCGGATGAAATTGAAGAAAACACTCATTAGGTCCTTCTTTTCTGCTTGTTCTTGGTCATCTACATTGTGAGCAGTCTTCAGGCAGGATTCATCAGGAACTACAGGAGATTTGTTGGCATTAAAGTTGGTGGTTCCAGCAGCTTCAGGGAAGTTCTGTGCATCCCTTCTTCCTCCCTGGGCCAGGTGATATTGAATCAGAAGTAGGGCAGATATGATCAGGTCCTTGGCCCAGGAATCTGAATCAAACATAAAATTCTCAGGTTTCTCTGGGGGATATTGAGGAGGGCTGAAATTGCAAGTACCTTCAGGGTACTCAAAGGAAATGTCTGGTGCAGGCTTACACTGTGTGTTGGGAGCTTCACAGGCTGCATGCTGAAAACCTGGAGATTTACATTCTTTCTGATTTTTATGCCACAAAGTCAGCCCCTCTTTGATAATGTGTTCACCCAGAGTTTCGGCACAAGTCTTCTTCTCTGATTTGGCTTCAGAACACATTTTTTCTCTCAATTTAGCTTCAGATCTCATGGCAAAGTTCACATTTCGTTTTTTAGGATCACCCATTCCTTTCATGGAGAGGAGGGAATAACGCTCAGCCTTGTCTTTGGCTTTCCTGATATGCTCAGAGACTTTGTCTGCAAACATCACATTGTACAGATTCCCTAGCATGGCATCCATGATATCTGAGGCCTTTTGGCTTCCATGAGAGAAGACAGTTCTTTTCACAGCCGAAACAAAGTCTGTGTTAGTCATGAGGGTCCCTGTGACATTGTGGAGGTTCATCATGAAGGAGTCGATGAGATCTGAGACCACGTCTTTTGCATGCTTGAGCAGAACCTTCTTCAGTAGGATGGTGGCAATGGTTGTGTCTTTCACTTGGATCCTCAGTGTCTTCATGATGGAGACCATAATATCAGATACCACACTGTTAGCATAGGTCATAATCCTTTCACTAACTGAAGTTGTAAAGTCATCAGCCCTTTCCTGCCCTCGAAACATCTTTCTCTCCCAAGGAAAGAACCTTCCACCTGCTCTGGCATAATCTGCATTATGAGAGTCAAACACTTCCTTATAGAAGAAAGACTTCTTAGAATCAGGCTTGTCCTCTGGACCCTGTCTTTCCCTGGTGCTCTCCTTCATCTTCAAAATGGACTTGTATTTCAAATTTGGAGGCTTTTGTGATGATTCTGATGCTCTGTCTCCAAAGCTGGGAGCCTTGTCCGGGGCAGCATTCCTGGAACATGCAGAGACAGTCTCATTCACCAGCTTTGATGCTACCTTACTGAGACTTTTGGTGGGGATGGGTTCATTCCCTATGTACAATGACTGATGGACACATTTGTCTTCAGAGCCATTGATTGCCTCATTGATCTCTTTGCGGGCCATGGCTATGACTAGATTCGTGAGGCGGTTAGCATAGAAGGAAACTTCATCTACTGAATTCCCATTGCCAAGTTGGGCCCTGGGGCCCTGGAAAGGATTCTCTTTGTGAGTTATCTCAAAATGCAATCTTCCTGGAGTGCCCTTGGTGGTGCCTTTGTGTGGGTCTCCTGAGTTGGACCTTTCCCCACCAAACGATGATTCTCCGGGCTTGAACCTAACATCTTGGAACTCTGCTGTACTTTTCTCCAGGTCTCTGCGGAGCCAGCTGAGCACTCTGACAGGATCCGTGGAGGTGTCCTTAAAAATAGACAAGCATTCATCTGACTATCACAAAGCAAAGACATGGGATATTCCAGACAACCTCAAAGTTGAGTTACAAATGTCCTCAGCCCTCTCAAGCTTGCTCCATCTTGGCAATAAAAGTAACTATGTATCCAGTACTCACTGTGTATCAGGCATTGTTTTAAGACTATTATCTATCTCATTTAATTATTCTCATAATAAGCCTGAGATTTAACTCTCTTATTATCCTCATTTTACAGAGGAGGAAATTGAAGAACTGAGAAGTTAAGTTTGTGACTTATTTGAAATAATACAGCTAACCACTGATGGAGCAGAAATTCCAGTCCTGGCAGTCTGACTCCACAGCCTATGCTCTCAGCTAGTACATTATATTGCTTCTAATGACATACATCTTTAAGATCGGATAGTCTGCTAAGGATAATGGCCTCCAGCTTCATCCATGTCCCTGTAAAGGACATGATATCGTTCTTTTTTATGGCTGCATAATATTCCATGTTGTATATGTATCACATTTTCTTTATCCAATCTATCATTGATGGGCATTTAGAGTGATTCATCAACAGAAAACCAAATACCACATGTTCTTACTTAGAAGTGGCAGATAAATGATTAGAACACATGAACACATAGAGAGGAACAACACACACTGGGGCCTTTTGGAGAGTGGTAGTAGGGAAAAGGGAGAGGACAAGGAAAAGTGACTAATGGGTACTAGCCTTAATACCTGGATGATTAAATAATCTGGACAACAAACTCCTGTAACACTAGTTTACCTACGTAACAAACCTGCACATGTACCCCCGAACTTAAAATAAAGTTGAAAAAAAGATGATAGTCACCAGCTACATAGAAGAGTTAGCATTTGAACTGAATCAGATTTTTTCTTGTTTTAATATTGTTATTTTCTATGATTTACCTGTTTTTATTTAGATCATATTATAAGTATAGTTTCCAAAAATTGAGAAAATTCAGGGAAAATGGTGCACAATTAGTCACTTTGCCAGGCTGCACAAACACTATCTAGATATGTTCAGTGGCTTCCAGTGGACTGATATCACTTAAGTTGACTTTCTGATCTACAATTCAGCAGTTAATATGTATGGGCAATTTAGTAGTTTTGTGTGAATACAGATTCTTTGATGGACAGTAGCTGCGATAAGCACATGGCCATGTTTATACGTTTATAAACTGTACAATCTGCATATGGGAAAAACTCTTAAACATAGGATAAAATAGTATATATGAACGTGTCTTATTTATTATCAAATGCTAAGGATCACTGTAATTATTGGAGTTCATATGTCTATCTGGGAATGACCACAAGTACTGCCCATCTTTAAAGAACAATTTGGTATTTTTATTACCAAGTGTCAAATAGTTACTAGTTATTATTTGTGAAGTACTCATAAGGTTTGCCAGGCACCATGCTAAATGTTTTACATGCACTATTTTGTTTAATCCTCATATTCACCTAGTAAGATAGGTTTTACTCTTCCAGTTTCACAGGTAAGAAAACAGAGGCTTAGAGAAGTAAATAGTTTGCCAGGCATCTCACAGCTAGTCCATGGTGGGGTTTCATATTCAAATCCAATTCTGACTCTAAAATCTGGGCTCTCTACCCCTACAATATCCTGCTGTGTTTTGATTACTTGGAAAGAAAAGAAAAGCAGTTGTGCTAGTTGTCTGCAGAACTGGTTTAAGTGGCTTGTTACCATGTTGGAGTTAAGGGCCATTGTGCTTGGTTCAAAACCCTTCCAAATGGTTCTCCTAATAATAGCTATTATATGGGGTATTTTGTGCTTTAGTGGAAAACTACACATCATCTAATTCTCCTTCTCTTGGAGCTATTTTACAACTCTGTTAACTGTAGATAACTGACAGCAATGCAATATAATTCTTGTCTAGACACCAATAAAGGGAGGGTCGACTGACTGCCTCTCCCACTGTAGAGAAGGTCAGCTCTGCCTCCATGGGCACATTCACTTCAGTATTTCCAAGCTACATGTGTCATTTGAACCTCATCTGTTCCTTGTTAATGAGTTAAATAAAATCTTTAACACATGTTCATTTTTATATGTGTATGAGAATCATTATTTTACCCTTCTTTAAAAATTATCTTTTAATGGTTTTGGAAGTCTTCCACCAAGATGCCCAATAGGTCCACCTAATGGAGATAAATGTCCTCATGAGACAAGTGCACCAGGTGTGTCTTTTCTCAGCCCCCAGAGTGGCAACAGAAGTTTGCAGACATTCTGTTTTTCTAGTTTTCGTTTTGTTTTGTTTTGTTTTTTGAGATGGAGTCTTGCTCTTGTTGCCCAGGCTAGAGTGCAATGGAACAATCTTGGCTCACTACAACCTCCTCCTCCTGGGTTCAAGTGATTCTCCTGCCTCAGCCTCCTGAGTAGCTGGGATTACAGGGGTGTGCCACCACGCCTGTCTACTTTTTGTATTTTTAATAGAGACGGGGTTTCACCATGTTGGTCAAGCTATTCTCAAACTCCTGACCTGATTCACCTGCATCAGCCTTCCAAAGCGCTGGGATTACAAGCATGAGCCACCATTTTTTCTAGTTTTAATTTTCCGCTCCACTAATTTTCATTTTGGTTCTCACTTTGGTTTGTTTATGGTCAATTGGTGACAGTGATGATGGGAAATTTGATTTTATTTTCTGACCACTGCTAATTCCTTTTATGGATTAATGATTTATAAAGATCTATCTTCTGTTGGATTCGAAGCAACAGAAAATTTGCTTTGACAGTATTTTTTTTGTTTATCTTAAGCTCAAATAAATTAACGTGTTTGTGCTCACTTGGAAGGAGACGAGCTCTTTGATATTTGGACAAGTGAGTTTTATGTTTCTGGTTGATTTTTGACACAAAGTTTGGCTGAAGGTTTAGAATTGAAGCCATAAACTGTCTATCAGTGATTGCATCGCTACATGTCTGTAATTCAGATAATGTTAGGTGTAAGCAGCATGTCTTCCTCCAGATGGTATCAGTACATAATGATATGAAGTCTCCTAAATTAAAAAATATTTATTCGGATCAGCGCGTGTACACACATGCACATGCACACAAACACACACTTAGGTAAATTAAATATTTTTGATATCCCTTGAAAATAAGGAACTCTAGCTTTCAATATTTAAAATATTCAAAGGGAATGCTAAAAGAAAAGAAAGAAAAGGAAAAAAAAAGTGTTTTTATGGAACCTAACTCAGAAACATTTTAGAAACCCAAATTGACATAAATTAGGTAAATCTTTGGCAACAGTACTAGTTTAATAATTTTGATTTAATAAAAACAGCTATATCTTTTCTTATTTATCAATGTTAAGTATAATACAATAGTATGCTTTTATTTTACTTTGATATGCTTTTCATAAACTTACACAGGTTACACAGATCCAAAAAAGCCAGCATTACTTCTACTTAATGTTTAAGGATTATGAAAAATGTAAATTTGTGTTTAACCACGTTCAATAATCATTCTGACATCTTTATTTCAACAGTTATTATGTTTTATATGTCAGCCTAATGGTAAGTTTCCAACATCTTTGTATAACTTAAAATACTGGAGTGGTATTACATTGAGTTAATGCATATTCACTGAATATGTAGATCATTTCTAAGTAAGATGGAACACAGAGACATTGATGGCTAAGCATAAAGTTTATATGCTTTTGCTTATTATTTTTATCACTTATAGAGAGGCCATATCTTTAAGTCTGTTAATGAGTGTGTTCATCTTCTCCACTTAGAGAGGCGGCATAAAGGGTGTCTGTGGCTGTAGCAAGTCTTCTTCAGGTGTACTCATGAGTTCTACTCATCTGAATTTCAGCTGGTGTGTGATGTTCGCAATTATATATCCCTCACCCCTAGTTTTTTTGTGTGTGTGAGAAATAGAAAGAACAGAAAGTACTTTGGTTAACAGTTATGATTACTATTAGTGGTTGAGACTATAATTAGGAACAATAGTTTCGGAGAAGTCTAAATGTATACCTGCTTGTTTTCTTAGCGACTGCAGGTGAAACCTGGTAGAGAGTTTCTTAGGCTTGACTTCCTAACTCAGCACAGTTAAATAATAGAGGCCTTTAAAAGTTCAATCTGAGATTCCTTATGAAGACTTCCGGTAAAGCCAACTTAAGAAAGCCTATCCAGTTGCTGCACCTATGTGAACAATCAGGCCAAATCTGATAAGACTAGCTTCATTTTGTGTTCAAGAATAATCTTACTTTGAGATTTTAATTTTTATCAAAATGGGAAGACTACAGGAAAAAAATTGCGCTTAAATAGAAAACTAAACATTGTCTATAGCCTACAGACTAAGCATTATCTTCAGTCTTCCACACGATCTGATTCTTAGTCTGTGAGAGCTATTTTACAATTCTGCAAGCTGTAGATAATTGATAGCGATGCAAAATAACTCTTGGCTACAGATGTTAAAACTCTACCTAATGGAAATTTGGTTGATTTCCCTTCCCCACTGTGGAGCAGGCCAGTTTTGCTTTTATTTGCATATTTATTTCAATATTCCTGATATATAAGTGTATCTTTAAAAACATTCTCCTTTGAACTGGTTGTAATACCTACCAATTTCCTCACCTGTGAGGTAGATACAATCTTTAGTACATATTCATTTTTCTATCTGTATCAAAGTGATAATTTTACCTCTCTTTTTGGAAAATGATAATGCATTACTACCTAGTCATTTACAAGTAAACACACTAACCTGCAAATAGGTGTGTTTCCATAATAGGGCTGTAACAGTACAGGAAGCCTTACTATAGTGCAGCTGTGGAGTTTATTCTTTTACCCTTTTTAATTAAAAAAAAAAAAAGTTAGGTGTGGTGGCTCACGGCTGCAGTCCCATCATTTTGGGAGGCGGAGGTGGGCATATCGCTTGAGCTCAGGAGTTTGAGACCAGCCTGGGTAACATAGCAAAACCCTGTCTCTACAAAAATATATTTTAAAAAATAAATAAAATTTAAAAAAA